AACATAAACACTATCATAGTCATTTCACAGCTCTTTGAACGCAAATTCTCGGTGTTTCAACACTGCCCTACAGATATTAAAGCTCTATTTACATGTATTCCAAGCATTGCAAACACATTCCTAACCATTTCCCTTGGCTATCATTGTGAATTACAAGTGTTTTATACACTTTTGTCCCGTTCTTCAAGCTCCTTAAATGTGAACTCCAAGTGTTTAAACCTCGTTTTTTCATATATACCAGCTCTTTAAACGTTGTTAGTATTTTAAACACTACCCTACTCCTTTCACATCTCTTTGATCGCACATACTCAGTGTTTCAACACTACCCTACAGATATTAAGGTTCTAGGAACATGTATTCCAAGTGTTTCAAACACATTCCTAAACATTTCCCAAGTCCATCATTGTGAATTCTTTTCAGAAGGTGCTTGCTCTGCCCCAGGTTCTAGGACAGAACCTGAGGTCAGGGGTGTGCATGGCCCTGAACTTTCATCCCTCTCACCCATCACCACACAGAGCAACCACAGCTGTTTTCCAAACAATTTTTTTTCTCCACGTCTCCCCTAACCTTAAGGGATAACAACTCCACTGCCCTTCTGTCGTGTGGGATGGAGGGGAAGGGTCAAGCTGCAATCAGACACAGACTCCCTGGCGCCTTGATCCTGGCCCTCCCACCTCCAACTGGGGAGAAACACATCCCTGTTGCTGATCGGCCACCAAGTCTCTGGCGGCTGCAGCTGCCCGTGCTGCCGGACACTCCTGCAGATAAGCCTCATGTGGGCGCACCTCTGGGCCAACAGCATGGCCGGACCCACCTCAGGCAAGATCCCGTCACAAGGACCTAAAGCCCGGGTGATGGTGTTAGGAATGGGCCTCAGGCCATGACGGTGGAGTCCACATGAGGGTCCTCGCTGTCAGAGACCCAGCCCCTTCCTTCTTCCCTGCAAGGGTGAGCCTGGACCCCAGGCTCTGGAGAGAGGCCCTCCCCTACCAGCTCCGCACCCTGATCTCAGACTTTTAGCCTCCAGAATATGAATAATAATTTTAGAAGCCACCCCAAAATACCAAAATGGTGTTTTGTTATAGCAGCCCAGATGGACTAAAATGTACAGGAAAAACTGGAATTTGAAATGAAAAAATGTTTTTTGCAATAGCACCTCAAAAATTGAAGTCCTGACCCTAACCCTCTGACCCTGAATGCTACCCCTGACCCTGACCATAAACCCCAAACCTAAACCCTGGCCCTGGCCCTAGGCCCTGACACAAATCAACCCTAAACCATAAACCCTCACCCTTTGCTGCTGGTAAAATGTATAGCTACCAGTAGTACCCAATTTTCTTTCCGTATTTCAGGTCATGGAAAAATTGTGCCAAAAATCTAACTACTGACACTCTTCATGTCCCAGAATTAAGTAATAAAGTGTGAAAGAAAACACACTGTAAGAAAGAAAAAATATATCTTTTTTAAGATTTGGGGGGTGGGGGGGAATGTAGGCAAGAATATCTATCCCAGACAAGAAACAGAAGCAATGCTAAGAAGGCTAAAATGTCTTAACTGCCTTTATTGATATCTTGTATTTATTTAGGTATATCAGCTTTTAAACCAGTTTCAAATTTCTTACATTAATCCTCTGAAAGCTCCAGACTGGCTAAAGCACTTTCATACACACAGTTGATTTTTACATTACACGTTTAATGTTATAAACTTGATCTTTGTTTTGTACATCTCTATGGCTCGCCTACTTCTAAGACAAAAGTCACATATAAAAGTACAGACGACTCCACGGAAGCCCACCTTGTCTAGAGAGTGGTTTCCGCACGGGCTTGCAGGCAGCACAGCCCGCGTAGTCGCCGGCTACTCACACTGCACCAGCAACGGGGCCCACGGGAGACCCACTCGCAACTCTCTGTCATGTTTACAAAATAAACACCAAGCTAGTTCATATATATTACAGCATCATATTTTTTAACCAAATTCTGGTTTAAAAATCACAACTGACAACATGTAAAATAAAACTGTTAGGCAAGGCTTAACACATACATAAGAAAAACGTGTTATGCATGGCCTTTTTTTTTTAATCCTCCCCTTTTGACATTTTTTCCATTGATTTTAGAGAGTAAAGGGAGGGAGGTGGGGCAGAGGAAGAAACATTAACACAAGAGACGCTGATTGGCTGCCTCCCACACATACCAGGACCAGGGCTGGAGAACCCACAACCGAGGCATACGCCTCTGTATTGCCTTCTATAAGGCAAACGTGGTTTAAAAGAAATGAAATCCATATACAATCATAGGGGAACGCATAATAGAACAGATTTCACAGATATCACATTTAATATCATGTCCAAAAATGTCCACGACTTGGAGGCCTCTGTGGATCGAGACCCTGTCGCACTGCAGTGTCAGCAGGAGCGCTCTGCCCTGCTCTCAGAGTGGCGAGTCCCAGGCAGGACACCAAGCCATGAAGTGCTTCTTCCCAACAGCTTCAATGCACAAGCCCAGGACACAGCAGTTTCCCAGCCAGGCATGCTCACAGCACCCTGTGACAGAAAGGATTCAGCTACTAAAAACAGCAAAAAGGTGAAAAAATAACCAGGACTCAAGTAACTGGTTGAAACCAGACACACTAAACCTCAGCAATACCCAAGATGTGAAGCAATAACATGAGCCCTCTGGGTGACGGACCAGCATCAGCACTGTTTACTGGGTTTACTGTTAACATTTAATACTATTCTTTTGTTTGGGTAAAAAAAAAAAAAAAAATGGGAAAGAACCAGTGTTTTGGAATAAGCGCTGTAACTTCAAAACATTCTGCCACCAGACCCATAGGACCCTTCCTTCCGGACCCAGAACCTGATTAGACAAAAGCTCCCGCCACACAAGGCCCCGAGGTCGGTTCCCCGAGAGTGAAACTGCTCTAGTGTAATGGAGCTAGCAAAATACATGTATTTGTTCTTAAGAAAAATTACAAAACTAACAAATCTTTTTTCTCCAGAATTACAAAAGATAAAATCTGAGTCAGTCCTCGAATGTGATTACAGAGAAATACCAACGGAAGCTCAGAAAAGCGAAACCCGCAGGCAGGCGGCCAGTCTGCCCGTCAGTCTCTGCCCCTCCTGCAGCCCAAGGGCCCCGGTCCCCAGAGGCCACCCCTAGCAAGAATCACCAAGATCCCCTTTGTCCGGGTAAAAGTTATATTGTTTATTACCTATATATGACATGCGCTTCATTCTTCAGGATATTCTCTCAGGGATTACTAGACATTGGATCTTTTATTTTTTGATTGACTGACTGATTAACCGTAGAGGGGAAGGGAAAG